TATGGGGGTATTGGGGGGTGCTATGGGGGTGTTGGTGATGTTATTAGGGGTTCTGGACCCCAATTTTTCTTTTCTTGGGCGGGGTGCCGACGACCCCCGACCCATAGGTGCCGACCAGCCATCCGGTCAGCGGGTCGCCAGCCGACCAGTCAAGAGCCGCCGATCGCCAGGTGTGCAACCATGGAAAGTGCCGTATCCGTGTGCCCACCAAATGGAGGTCTTTGTCAGTTCTTTGCGTTTTCTGATGTTGCACTGTTCGGTTCTTTTTTTTTTTTTTTTTTTGTTGAGACAAATGCTCCAATCTATTCGTGGGGAGCAACACGTGCTGGGAACCGGGCCCAGCATCTCATATGGAATTATACAAATGACTTGAAATACCAGGGCCGTTACCTGGCTTCAGCTAAGAACAATCTGAGAACTATGAAACACGTGCTGGGAACCGGGCCCAGCGTCCAATATGGAATTATACAAATGACTTGAAATACGAGGGCCGTTACCTGGCTTCAGCTAAGAACAATCTGAGAACTATGAAAAGAGTTCAAGAAAAGTTCAAGAAAACATGAATAACTGCTGACCTGTCAACCTATTTCTAGGCTATTCAAGCAGCAGTTACTAAAAAAGAAAGCCACAGAAGTCCTCTGAATGCTCAGAACCCCTGGAATCCCCAACAAAACACTCTGAGATTCTCTAATACTGTCTTATTCTCTGCCGAGCTCTCCCAGGCCTCATGCCCCCACCCTGCTAGGTTACAGGGCAACACGGCTCACCCTAGCTCCGGCCCGCATCGTCCCGACAGCAACCCTTGATTTTCCCTTGGAATGCCCGGCCCAAGGCATCCCCAGATCTCTCTACCAGGCCTCACGCTCCTGCTATCAACAGGTTACAGGTGTTACATGGCTGGTTGGGCGATGTACATAATAACCAAGGATCCGCAATGTGATGAAAAGGACTGAATGGACAATGCAGTGCAAGTAGATCTCAACAAGCAATGCGCATTCCGATACATACAAAATGGTGCTGAATAGCGCAGGGAAGGTTTAGATACAAGACCTGACCTGACCAAGACTGACCTTTATCACGTAGTACAAGATAGCGAAACAGAATGCTAGAATACTGATGACTAGCCCAATCAATGTCTCATCGTAGACCAAACATACATCTTGCTCATCACACAGTGTGAAGGAGCCTGGCGCTGTACACAGAACGGGAAGCGCCAGGGCCAGACATACACAGACGAAGAGGAGGGGATCAGACGAAGAGGAGAGGGAAAGATGGGGATGTCGTCAACACCAAGTCTNCCTCCAGCGCAGGAGACTAAGGCTACCTGCAGCGCTCCCTCCTGAAGACTACTGCCTCCTGCCTGAACTGCACGTGAAGTGCCTGGCCAGTCCTTGTGAACTACCTGCCTGCCTGTAGGGCGGGCCAGTCTTATATAGTGCTGGCCCGTCCAGGAGGCTTCCCTTGCCAATGCCCAAACGTGCTAGACCCTGAGGAAACTTCCGGAAGTTTGCAGGTAGCTTCTGGCTAAAGCCTGAGGAAGCTTCCGGGAAGTTTCCAGGTAGCGTCTGGCTAAAGCCTGAGGGCCTATAGGCCCTTGTTTTCAGGCTGTCAGGCTGAAACGACACGGGGCCTGTAGGCCCTGGTTTTCAGGCTGTC